GCTGCTCCGCTCCTGCCACCTTCCCGTCGGTGGTGTGGGGTGAGCGGCGGGCCGTGCCGCGCCGGGGGCGCCCGTCCCGGAGGCGCCTCGCTGGCTGAGGAGCGGCCGTGCCGGGGAGTTCTTCCCCAGGCGGCCGGGCCGAAGACAGGGCTGTGCAGCGGGAGGTGTGCGTGGCCGGCGCAGCTCGTGGTGGGCCGGGGTAGTGGCCGTGCCAACGGTGTGTTGTTCACCTTTTACCGATCTGTTTCCTTTCTTATTTTGTCTGGTTTCTGGTGTATTTTCTTCAACGTTTTAAGGCTTTTGGTGTGTCAGAGCTCTGCTTTTTTGTTCGTTTGTTTTCCTTTTTCCTTTCTGTCCTGCTAGAGAACATTTTCCAGCTGGGCTCAAAATTATAGTTGCCTGACCAACATTTCTGGTGGAGCCACTGAGCAGAATTTATGTGGGGGAGTGGCAGTCTGTTGCATATTATTGTTTAAGAAGCAAGATGAGCGACGTGTATTCTTTCTTCTATGTACTAAAAAGCTGAATTACCTAACTACTCGACAATACATTTTTCTATAGTTCTCTGAATGGCTTCTTTTGGGTGGAAGAGGAGGATTGGTGAGAAAGTTTCAAAAGCTACTTCTCAGCAATTTGAAGCAGAAGCTGCAGATGACGAGGATCTGGCTGATGACGATGATACTAACTGGGTGCATGCAACTAAGAGAAGAAAGGAAATTCTTGTAGAAGACTGTGTAAAGAAAAGTAAAGAGCTGAAGGATGAAGGTGCAAACTTGGCTGAAAATAGGAGGTACTAATGTTATCTTACTCTTTTTCACTCAATGAATATATGCTAAATGACATTTTAATCCCTGCTCTAAACACTAGGTAATCTGCTAGCAGCTACATTCACATTTTTCATATTTGAAAAAGTGATAATTTCTTTCATTCTGCTTTTACTATCTGGTACTAAATAAATTGTTTCATTTGGTGGTGTTGGCAGCTGTGAAATGAAGTCTGCATTCAGTCTCATTTTTGTGTGTTCACATAACAAGTAATAGGAGGGAGCTGAGAAACTGACTGGATTTTAAAGTTGAAAGGGAAATAACATGCAGTGAAATAAGCAATTGTAAGTAATGCTTTAGCTACTCTGGTAGCTTTCTGCTCTTCTAAATGTGTCTTTTCTCTCAGTAAGAGTAAGCTTATTTGCATGTGTACAATGCCTAGGCAAACACTACAAAGCAGCTAATGCAATGCTAATCTGTCTAATGCTTTTAGAAAGTTAGGTTCAGGTAGCTGTTCTGAACATCTGATAGCAGTACTGTCTTGAGAATTTGGCAATTCTGGAAAGATGTTGCAAGTATTATTCCATTGTCCTATTATGCTTCAAGCACAAAGTACCTTTGGAGGAGGGACAGAGGGACTGTAAATTACATACTACCTACATAATTTGTCTAGATCTTCACTGGTGGGGGAAAAAGCAGTTCCAGGAATAGTCCCCTTAATATCTTCAGAATGCTTAACATTTAAATCTGTATCCTGACTTTACTTGTATGAGCATCTCAGCTTTATTCATTGTCCCAGATCAGAGCTAACATTATTTTCCTTGTAGAAGGAGTTTTTTGTAAGTCAGCACACACTCCTGTGCTGTTAAACTTTTTGTGTTAAGAAATTTCATCCTAAGAAAGGATGTCCTGGACAACTTAGTTTAGAAGTTTAAAGGAGGCAAGTTGATATATAATAATAAATACACTGTGTGTATGGTCTGGCCTGATTTAAGAAATAATAAATAAATACCAAATGTGTTTGAGAAGAGGCTTGTTTTCAAATACTTAAATACAGTTTTCTCTTTTCACTGTTTACTCAAATGGTGACACTATTCAGAGGGGCAGTGATTCACTTCTGTACATCCTTTTGTGTTCCCAAGTTCTGTAACTCCTGAATAAAATTTTGAAGCCTTTTAAAGTTGACTTTAAATTTAAACCAAATTAAACAAAATCAGTTTTAAGCATGCTGCCATTGTGTTGACCAACACCTTTAATGCAGTAGCTGCGTAAGTCAGTGACATTGATAGCTGAAAACACAGAATACACAAGTCTATTAACAGCTTTGTTTTTAATGCTGGAAATAAATCATACAATGGTATGCAGAAAGGTAGTCTATTCTGTCCTTGTCAGGATATAGAGATTGTGTTTTTAAGCTTGAGTATTTCTAAATGTTTTATTCTGCATTTGGTAATCACTAATACTTACTGTACTTAAATCAATCCCTGTTTAATATATTTTTATTTATTTCCTTCCAATCTTCCGTTCTACCTCTGCTTTCCTTGTATTTTGCTTTGCTTATATCTCTTTTCTCTATGGATTTTGATGTTCCTTTTTGATTATTTGTTTCTGTGTTTTATGTAAAGTGCAATAAAGCAGCAAATAATGTGTTGTAAATGTGGTTTGGGGCAGGCAGATACAGACTGGTACATTTTTCTGTTGAGCAGCAGGTAATTTTTGGTGCTTTTAAGATCTTAAGTTGGTTTTAGAGGTTGAGTTTTCCTTTATCTGTTAGTTAGAAAGCAATACAAAAGCTTAAAAATATCCATAAAGATCAACATAAAGGTTTTTTGTGAATGTAGTGAGAACTGTGTCTCAACAGAAGTGTTTGTAAGAGCTATTGAGAAACACTGAATGGCTTATAACAGGTATGAGAAACAAGTAATAAGAAATTCAAATGCAGTTTATGGGTGGCTTGTCACACTCTTTTCATGTTAACACTCATATATCTGAGGCTTAACAGAAGTTCTAACTGGAAATTATCTTAAGTTTCCATCAATTACTCTGGTACACTGTACAGTTTGGGCAATTGTGTTAGTATGGTGCTGTCAGATTTACTAACTTTTACACATGTTCCTCTTAAAAAAAACCCCAAACAAACCCAAACTCACCTAGATTAGAGGCTAAACTCAGACTGGGAGACATTTGATACTTAAACAGGTAGAATATTTGGCATACCATTACAGGGAACTTGAGGAAGCAGACTGAAAGAAACGTTTATTCTCTGTGGTGGAAAGTGGTTTCTGTAATTGTGTTTCAGACTGAAGTGATCTATTTCTTGAATATACGTTTGTACAGCATAGGCAGACTCACATAAATACTTAAGGTAGATTGTTTCCTGAAATAACAAAGAATGGTAACAGTTAAAGAAAGATTTGAGTTGGTTTGTGTGGCATTTAGGTAAAAGGATGGTATCTTTTCCACTGAAGAAACTCAGAAGAAAACTCAAGACTGATCATTAGAGTGTAGCTAAGGTGGTACCTTAGTTGATGTGGAGTGGAGAGAAGGGCATCCTGAAAGAAAACTGGCTTGGGAAGAAACAAGAGGCTAAGTAAAGGGAAGAATAGAAGGTAATAAATTCTAGTTCACCTCTTGGGGAAAAGAGACTCGGAAGTAATGTGCATGACAAAATTAATATGATGAAAGGTGAATGTTATAAGTACATCCAGTATTACTTAGATAGAATAGTGATAACCACCTTTATGCTTTGTTAGTTCATTAGCTTATTTTTCTGGTAAGGGAAGGCAGTGATGGTGTTAACCCCCACCATGGTTTTGTTAGTCCCTGTGTATGCAGTGTGTCTTGCTGTGGATGAGTAAGATCTGATTGACTTGTGCTTGTAAAGTGAGTTTCAGTGCTTCTTGGGGGGAAGGAGTAATAATAAATGGACTTCTTGGGAGTCAGAATTTGTACAGACTGCTTTCTTTGCCCATTGACAAACTCAGGAATAGCATGGGTGAATTGTTTTGGAGGTGACATCCCTTTATGGGTTTTCAGCTTTTGTGAGAGCTGCTTGAGGAGTATTTGTACTTGCTGTAATGTGTATGCATGATCCTGTTAAACTGAGATTGAAACACACAGAGGAAAAATGGTGCTGAAGACAGAACAGTTCATGATGCATATTTGTCTTTTTGTGGAATGGGAAGAAAGACAGGGAGACCACCAGAAATGGGTGTTGAACTAGGTTGATTATCCCAGTGGGTCTATTATTGTTGGGGACATGGTTTAGGAATTTCTGACATGGAAACTTGATCAATAGGCAGTTTTGAAGTGACTTGTGAATGTGAGTGATCTTGTCACAACAGAAAGAAAAAGCAGCATGTGGAAGAAGAGTTAAGTTTGTGTGCTCTATAGGTGTGTGAGAAGGAGCAATTAAACATGTACAAGCATATACAGTATTTTTGGAAACAGAATATTGTTTGCTGGTGGAAAGAATGGAGAATATTCCAGAGGAGAAATTGGTATTACTTATATGGAATTTACAAAGCTGGCAGATTATCCAGGTTGCCATACCAGTATGGATGTGCTCCTATACACTGGAAATAAATGAAAAAATAAAAAAACACATCAAAAAATCAACAAAAAAGCCCCAGCAACCATAATCTGGGTTAAGTTTTTTGTGTTGATAGTCCTACACTGTTTTAAATCCAACATAATTGAAAAGGTTAAAAGTTCACGTGCTCAATCTCGGTATTTTGAATCCAGCAGTTTGCAATTACACTGTATTTTGACTGGTAGGTAGGTGGTCTTTGTGTGTAGACAGAAGTTTAAGAACAGATTAAGACTAGATTAAACAGTGAGGTATGTCCTTAAACGTATGGCATGTAAAGCCATGTATGGCAAGAAGAAAAACTTCTGTCAGACAAGTATCTTCAGTATAGTTGGGTTGCATATTCATACAGATAGACAGTTTTGCAATCCCACTGTGGTTTTCAAATTACGAACATTTTTGTAGCTGACCAGTAGGTGGAGATAGGGTTCTTCTCAGAGTGCCCTGAAGATGTGCGAAAAGATCATCTAAATACTTAGTTTTCTTTTGCAAATAGACACTGTTGAGTTTAAAGTTTTATTGATTTGCATGTAATTTTTCAATTTTGATTGCACTAAAAAAATCTCTATCTCTAAAGCTGGTACTGGATTGGGAAGATCATGTTTTCAACTGGAACATTCTTATGTTTTGGCTGAGTTTATAGAGATTTATTTATGATTTGAATAGTGGTGTTACTGTCACTTGGTGTTACTTTGTCATTTGGTGTATAAATTAGTGATTAATAAGGATTTACTCTTCCTTTTCTTTAGGTTTTGCAGCAACAAATTAAATAAGGACAAAGTACTATGAGCAGACCAGATAATAGGTCAAGAAACTGTTTATTTTTCTAGAGAATTCTTTGAGAATGACTTTATTTAATTTTCTAATCTATTAAAAATTGAACTTCTGTGAAGTGCTACTTATTCCACATTAGCACCTGAGACTTTTTCTTCTGATGGTAGTATACCATCATCAATGCAGTATGTGTAGTTTGTGATTCCTTAACTATATAAACTGTAATTGAATTTGTTTTTCTCACTAGATGTTGTAAGGTGTCTCAGTGTTAGATGAGGAGGCACACTCCTTTAAAAAGTATGTTTACTGTAGTGGTAAGTTAAGGGTTATAGAAAAAATAATATATTTAGCAGAAGGAGTAGAAGAGTAATGCCTATGAAAAGCCTTTCTGTCATGTTCTTATGTATTTGTTCAATCTACCTGTGTCTTTCAAGTCTAGATTATGATAAGCACTTGATTACTAATGAGATACAAAATTGCTAAAGTAATAAAATTGCTTTCAGATTATTTTGATGATGCAACTAATGTGGCAAAGGGCAAAGATCACTGCCATTCATTTTCAGTTAATAAAACTGATTTTACTTACATAATGTAGTGTTAATAAAAAGGTTTTCCAGATGATCTAACAGTTAGTGTTGGCAGAAGCAGTTCAGCAGTTTAATA